AGTGTGGAGGCTGGAGGTAGCACAGCCATGCAGCCACAGTCTCCCCTCTGACTGCATCCTCCAAGGCCTTCCCAGTGAGCAAGGTTCGGCCCAGGGAGAGGGTTACCCAGGGAGGTGGGGGGCTGCTGCAATGAGTAATAAATGACCTCATCTGTGACGGAAACTGGAGCTCAGGGACTAGGGTTTAGAACTCCTTTCTCCATGATATGGACTGTGACATGAATGCCCTTGTGGGGCTCTCCATAGTCCCAGATTCTCCAGAATTATGGAAGTCTTGTGGGACCAGAGGTCTTCCAGGTGGGCCCAGCTGCCGACTTCCTGGCCTCGTTCTTCAAGGCAACCTTGCACAAAGCTGTGAGGGAAGGGCATGTCTTGATCCCCTCTCTCTGTGACTGCCAGGCAGCTCTGGGGATATTTTATGCTTAGACGGGAGGGCAGAGTGCCTTTGACCTGACTTTCTGGGCCAGGGGTTCTACTCCACCCAGCACAGCCTGCTCCTTATCGTGACCATAATGACCCTATTGTACCAAGGCTTTTTCTGGGAGCTGCCACGGATCCTCTTGGCAGGAACAAAATGCATTCGTGGTCCCCAGGGCTTTCTTTTGGCCCAAGGTTTGTAGTTGACTTTGCTTCCCAGGCAGATTTCAGAGGGTGGCGCCCTCCCTTCGAGTGGGGGCCCTTCCCCTTTAACACTCCTGCCCCTTCCATGCAAGAAAGAAGGGCAGCCTATTCACACTTGTGGGAGAGGAAAGGGGTGGGGTCACAGAGGGAGTGGCCCCAGGGATCCTGTCGGGTCCCTCCCAGGCAAAACAGACATACACACTGCTCCAAGCTCTGCCTCCTCTCTGCTGCATTACTGCTCTCAACAGCCCAGCGAGATGCCGACTCTCAGGAGTGGTGGCCAGAGGGCCTTGGCCACTCACTGCAGACCCAGAGCAGAAATGCAGGGCCTCCGAAATGTGGGTCCTTCCTTCCTCCTCCCTTCCTCAGCTCTGAGGGTGCTCCTGTCCATGTAATATCCCTTCAGTGACCCCAGGAGAGTAGGGGAGCTGCCCGGCCTGCCCTGGAAGAGCGCACAGCTGATGCCTGAATGGGTGCCCACGGTGTTCTACTCGGCCGAGCTGCCTCCTCCCCCATGCCCAGCACGTGGGGGCCACTGTGGGCTGATGGGAGGTGGGGGCTCAGTAAAGGGCTGCAGCTGCTCGACCAGACTCAAGACGGGCCTGCAGGCGCCATGTGTTTTGATCTGATGCTGCGCTGGAATATTTGAGCTCTGCCGACGGATGTGATATAAAAATACAGCCGGCTGCCAGTGCAGCCGGGGAGGGCGGCTTCCTCGCCAGCAAGTGCCACGGCAGCGTTCCTCCCGTCCCTCAGCCCCCACCCCCGGAGCCGGGGGCAGGATCCGAAGATGGGAGCTGCTTCTATAAAGTATTAACAATTCTGCCTGCTTGGAGGAATATTTTCTTTTGAATCCATACTGAGCTGTAATGGAATATTTGGATTATTCCTTTTTTTCCCTCTGTTCTCCAAACTCAGCAACTGAATTAAAATGCAGAAGTTAATGTAAACATATTATTTCTGTGCGTATCTTATGGGACCTGTATCTGACAGGCTTGGGCCAAGTACAAAGGACCTCTGAGAAGCCCAGTGTTCGGTCCAGCATCCCCTCACTCAGGCCAAGTTCTCCTTCATGTTGAGGTGGCTAAGCTTAATTAATTTATTGTTATTATTGCTTAAAATGTTCCAAGAGCCCAAGGGGAAGCCCTGAGCAGAACCGGCTGTGTGGAAGGCTTCTCTGTGATGAGGCAGAGTGACACACACATCCCATGTTACCCATGACACCGGCTGGTCCTGGGCCACATGGCCACCTCCAGCCTAGCTTCCTCACCACAGGGCAGGGCTGACATTAGCTCTGGCTCAACAAAGCAGACGTAAGAGAGAACAGACAGACCAAGGTAGGCCTTTTCCGTAAAGAGAGCCGCGGAGGGCACAGACGACCCACCGCGCTGGACTGGAAAGACCAACACGACAGTGGACTCAGCAGGCTAGAGAAGCCATCCTGGCATCGGTTCTTGGAGCAGTGCGTGGGCAGTAGGGCTCACAGCCCCCTCGGGTGGATGTCACCTCCCCCAGTTGATCGATGAAGACGGAGACTCAGCAAGGCGCCGAGCCTATGTCCCGGCAGCCGGCAGGGTGAGAAGCTGGGCTGCTGTCTCTGTTTATCCAGCTGAAAAGAAAGTCTCTCCAGGCAGCCATCGCAAGCAGTGGCAAACATCTGTCGGCCGAATGGGGTATAAAGCACAGGTGTCTTCTGTCCCTGCCCAGCACTGGAAGGTGTCCTTCTTGGGATTCGGGAAGGAAAAGGGGAGGGTTTATTGGCATTCTTCTGAGCCCCTCTTAGGCTGGATGCTCCTGCTGTTTTCTCAGTCTCCTGGGAGCCCTGGGTATGGGGCTGTCCTTACCCCTAGTACCTAAGGAAGTTCTGCAGAAGGTGGTCATTTGTTCATGGCCTAATAGCTGTAAGTGACAGAAAACTGGCCCCCATGAGAATTCATTTTTTTCTCTGCAGACCTCCCCGCTTCTCAGAGGCCCAAATAAAAGCCAACGCATTGACCAAGCACCCCTTTCTTCACTCCGACAGGGCAGCCCTGAGCAACGGGGTCTCCTGGCCCTCTTCTGCAGCCTGGCACAGCCCTCCCTTCAGGCTCCCGAGCACCTTCTCCCTCTCCCACAACGGCACCCAAGGCTCCTCGCCCAGCACTAGGACGGCCTCGCTGTCCTAAAATGCACTTGTGCCCTCCTACCTCTGGGTCCTTTAGCTGTGCCTCGCCCAGCGTCCCCTCCCCAGCTTTGGAAAGCTACCCTTCCCTATACCCTCCTTAGAGGCAGTAGGAGTCGGTGGAAACATGCTCAATAAATCCCTGTTATTTTATTATTAAATTTGGCCAGAAGACCTGAGCCCTGACCTGAGCCCCATGGAACCCTAGCACCAGCTGTGAAACCTCAGGCAGGATTATTCACCTCTCCGAGCCCATAAAATGTGCCACTCACCACATGAAATGCACCAGTAGTAATACTTAGGAGCTCCAAAATGTTACTCCTCTGCTGGGGTGGACCAGCAAGTCTGGGCCCGTCCTACAAACTTGGTAAGAGAGATTTCGAAGTGGGAGTTCTGAGGCCATAGGTCTGGAGGTCTTTTCAATAATGGGCAATTCCCTTGTGACCTTCCGAAGCTGCTCTCAGAGTTTCCAGGGTGCCTCTGGTCTTGCCACAGTGTCAGCCATGCCTCTGAGGTAAGGTCACCCCATGGTCCTGATTCAGGTGGGAGGCCGAACCACAGGCTGGCAGGCCTACAGTTCTAGGAGAGCTCCCAGTGACCTCCTTCACTCACAGGTGGGGTGCTGAGGCCGAGAGAGCAGGGATCCGTGAGCTAGGTCAGCAGTCCTGTGACAGAGCCAGGCCTGGACTCTGGACGCCCTGTGCAGCTCACGAGGAGGTCAGGCATGTTCTCATCAGCCTTGGCTGACCATTTCCAGCCAAGCGAACCCATCCTCCTGGGTCTCAGTTTCCCTAGCTGTGTCTGAGCCAAGTACACGCAGGCGTGAACATTCCCCCAGGTGTTAGCTGTGGACATGTCTGGGACAGCTCTTCCTAATTGGGGTATCCTTTGAATCCACGACTTGGACGACGAAGCCAGGTAGCTGCAGAGGGTGGGAGGTCCTTCCTCAAGGGACAGCCTGGTAGGTCAGACCAGCAAGGGGCTGGCTGGGTGCCTGAGTCTGCAGACAGAGGCTCGGGGATGAAAGCAGGACCTAGAGCTGTCCTCCTCAGGACAGACCCTAGGCCACCCTAGGCCAAGGACAAACGGGAGAGGATCTAGGAAACAGCTGGGCTGGGCAGGAGAGCAGAGGTAGGAGCACATATGGAGAAGCCTGGGGCCGACAGGGGAGGACAGGAGGCCTGGAGAGTCACAGGAGGAGCCTTAGAACCACCCCACCCCCAGCTCGCCGAGTTCCTGTGTGTTCAGGAGACCTCTATCTCTCCCTTGCTATGCCCAGTCCTGCTTCACCCCTTCATCCTGCTTATCCTCAGGGTGCCTGGGATCTAGGATACAGTTTGTAGCTTCCTGACCCACTGGCACCAGCACCCACTTTAGTATTTCATGCTCCTCCAACTTCAGTGTGGGCTGAGTGTGGGTACCCACAGAGCACTGGTGGTGACGGGGTGAGGGCTGAGCAAGGTTGGACTACACTAGTGGGAAGCCCTAGGGTCACTGGGGACGAGCAGACTCCAGAACCCCTTCCAGACACCCCAGGCTTTTCCCACCCCCACTGCTCTTCAGCCTCAATGACCTCGGTCTTGGTTCAAAAGCAAGAAACGGGTAGCTGTCCAGCCACACTCTGGTTCGGTCCAAGTAAAGGCATCTGATCCGGACTAAGGTCTGGGGCTTTGCCTCAGCTTTCACCCTACCCAGCCAACACATTGACCAAGCACCCTTTTCCCCAGAAGGGCAGGGCAGCCCTGAGCAACGGGGTCTCCTGGGTCTGAGGTATAAGTGTTCAGAGGCTGAGTCTGGCCCGCCGCTACCTGGAGGCCTGGACCAGAGAGCACCCCTCCCTCAGGGAGGCACTGGATACCAGACTAGTGGTGGGAAGGCATGGGAAGAATGCAGGGGACATTCCCCAGGATGTATATTTTTGGAGTCCATTTGGAAGTTGATTCCTTTTGTCTCTTAGCCACTCATGGCACAATCATGCTAAGTGTCTATGTATGTATATAAAGCAGCTGGCTAAAAAGCACTCTCTCCACCTCCTCAGACAAGAGGTAAGGTGGGGTCCTGCAGGCTTGCAGAGTCCTCTGCTAGCCGCCCTCTGTGCATCCCCGGGGGAATGGGAGAGGTAGGCTGAGAGTCTGGAAGGCACCCCACCCCCAGGCTTAAGGACAAACTCCTGCAGCCAACACTTAGATTACAAAGGTTTATTTAGAAAATAGTTTGGTTGTTTTGGCTGTGGTTGTTTTTTGGCAAACATTTAAATACTTTCAGTAATCAAAGATTGTCAGTGCCCTCTTTCTTCCTGCCGACCAAGTCCTGGGGAAGTCAGCCCTTGCTCAGGCAGGACGCGGGGTGGTTGTGTATGTGCGGGGTGGGGGGCATCCCACTGCTGTCTAAACCCTGGCCTCACAGCCACACCTCAGGACCCCCAGAGCCAGAGCCACAGATATAGCCCCCTGCTGAGAGGGGAAGGCAGGAGGGTTCTCCCCTTTCTCTCCCCCCCTCCCTAGAGGCCTGCTGTCACTCTGGCCCAAACTCCTGCCATAACGCACCCTGCTGTGGGTCTTGGAGGCCAATCCATATCTGGGTCTCTGGCCTTCACCCAGGGGCCACACCCGCCCCGCCACCTGTTCCTGCCAGCTCCGTGATCTGAACTGTCCAGGATCTCCGCGCGGGATGAGGAACAGGTCACTGCCTGAAACCTCTTCTCCTCCGTCGGAAGAGGATGTGCTTGAAGGAGCGCCGGAAGTCCTGATTGAAGACGGTGTAGATGACCGGGTTGAGCGAACTGTTGCAGTATCCGATCCAGAAGAAGAACTTGAAGAGTGGGCCAGGCACCTGGCAGGCCTCGCGGCAGATGCCATACAAGCTGTAGCTGAAGAAGAACGGGAACCAGCAGAGCACGAACACGCCCATGACCACCGCCAACACAAAGGTGAAGCGCTTCTCTCGCGCCTGGGCCACCTTGCGGCGGCACACGCTGCTGCGAGCCCGGCGCCTACGCGACAAGAAGAACTCGACGGAGCGCGAGCTGGCGCGTGACAGGCGCCCACCGGGGCCAGGGGATCTGGAGGCTGCCAGAGTGCCCTGCTCGGCCGCGCCGGGCCCGGAGTCGGGCCCGGGTCCGTCAGCAGCGCCCGCGCTCCCCTCGGCGCCTGGACGCCGCCTTCCGCCCCTCCGCAGGGCTCCCCTGCGCCGCCGCCTTTCTGCAGCAGCGCTGCTCTCGTCAGGCTCCACATCAGGTCGCGGGGGCGCGCAGTGCCCGTTCTCGCCCGCCGCCGCGCCCAGCCCGTTCTCCGTGGTCGGGGACGCGCCGTCGGGGCCTGTGGGAGTGCGCTTCTCGCTGAGAGTGCGCGTGCGCAGCTTGGCCACGCGATAGATGCGTGCATAGACCAGGCCCATGATGAGACAGGGTGCGAAGAAGGAGCCGATGCAGGAGGACAGGATGTACCAGGTCTCGTCGTTGAGGCCACACTGCGGGTAGGCAGCGCCGTCGGGCTGGCGGTAGAGCGAGACCAACGGCGGAAAGGAGATGACCGCCGAGATGAGCCACACAGCCACAATGGTGGCCTTGACGCGGCGCGGCGTGCGTTTCAGATTGTACTCGACGGCTTGCGTCACTGACCAGTAGCGGTCCAGGCTGATGGCGCACAGGTGCACGATGGACGAGGTGCAGAAGAGCACATCGAGCGCCAGGTACACGCCGCACCACACCTGCCCGAAGTACCAGTAGGCCATGAGCTCGTTGGCCAGCGAGAAGGGCATGACCAGCGTGGCCACCAGGATGTCAGCCGAGGCCAGAGACACTAGGAAGAGATTTTGCGGCGCGCGCAGCGCCCGGCTGGTCAGCACAGCGATCACCACCAGCACGTTGCCCACCACGGTGAAGACGATGAGAAAGCCCACAAGGGCGGCCAGCCCCGCCACGGCGCCTGCAGAGGACTGGCCCGGCGGCGGCGCCCCC